GTTCAGGACCGACTGAAAATGAGGTCCCAAGAGGCCATCTGGGGACACAAGACCTTCCAGGAGTTATTTTTTAACATCCTCTGGGATGGTCGGGGACCGTTTCAACCACATCTGTCTCTGCAGCAACGTTGTCCAGGACGAGATGTGGGCGGAGCACGCTGCAAGCACCACACACAGGTTGGTGATCATGTCCGCAGCCGTGCCGATCTCGTCCAAAGATGCAAAGAATGGGTTCGGTTCCTTCACCTCCTTAGCTATGCTAAGAGCTAGCATAGTGATGTTGTTGGTTGCTGCTCCCACCTGCATGAGCACTGATGGATTCTGTCAGTCAGCTTCATGGTGAGCTGGTCACTGGAGGATGGCGGGATATGTCGGCCGACGTATTTCGCTGCTCTTATCCCGAAAACAACTGAAACTGCGTTCTAGCGGAGGGACGGTGGGGAAGCCCTGGTCCGTGAGCCCTTTGACTTTGGTGATGGCCGCGTAGGAAGCGACCGGAGCCCTCAGCTTTAAGGGATCGTTGGCTGAACCCAGAACAATGGTGGACACAGCCGGGAAACAGGGCCATACCGGGTCCTGGTGTCCAATGAGCTGTGCGGCAAACCTTCCCGCCAGAAGGGTCGACGTGGCCGGGGCTGCTGGTTCGGGCACTTCCAGGTCGCAGGCACTCGCCAACCTCCCGATTATCTCCAGGAGCTCGTGAAGCAGAGTGGTGGACGACCCCATGGCGCTCGAGGGGGCGACCATAGGGCAACACCGGCTCCAAACCTTCTGTAAGGCAGGATGGAGCGTGGCTGCTAGCTGTTTCAGCTTCAGAGGGGGACGTGTTCGCGAACTCCATGTCCAGGGAGTTAAAACAGTCCTCGAGCGAACAGTCCCTCAGTTGAAACTCTTCCTCCTCAGAGGAAAAGAGCTCACACCGGCGCTGCTTCTCCTCAGCCGAAAAAAAGTTTACAAGCTGGACAAGAGAAGAGCGGATCCAAAGCTTGCCGAGCGCGGTCAGCTCCCAGGCAGCTTTCACACACGACGTGCAGGTCCGTTGATAAGATGTAGCCCGTCTGGCACACGGGGAACAGACAGATGGTCTTTGATTTCTTAACTGGTCAACTTTCTTCTTCTTCTTTTCTATTATTCCTTCTTAGGAGTAGTGTTCTTAGCATTGGCTGAAGGAAAACGGGAGTTGATTTTCGGTCCAGATGCAATTTAAAACGGACCGGGTGGGGCCCACACAGCAGGTGGGCGTAGACTAGAAGTTTTCAGTGTTCGGCGCACTGGTAAACCCAATAGCGACAGCTTTTAAAGGGCGTAGCTTACACAATATAGAACCAAACTGAAGCAATTTAATGACACCTGGGGTAACCTGTGCAGGTGCTTTGAGTTTAGTAAATGATTAGTGTCACACTCAGTTTAAAACATTCATGTCCTGCAACATTTGGGCTGATTTCTCCACAATATTCAAATTTTTTGAAATCCTGTTTTCATGGGTTTCATGAGCTGGAAGCCCAAATTATGTAAAAATAAACAAATAAATACTTAAAATTGTTTAAATTGTGGGCCCAGAATCTATCATAAAGATTAACTTCCATAATTCCATTCAAAAAGTTAACTTTTCCATGATATTCTAATTTTTTGGAGTGTCTGTAGTTTCAGTGTCATAATCTTTCATACAAGCCTTCATGAGTACACAAACATCTTTTTAAGAAAATAAGTCAAACAATGCCCAGAAAAGTTTAGTAAAATATATTTTGGTTCAAAAGTTGATTTGCAAAAGTACAACCTGTGCAATCCATAAAAGGATGAGGCATCATACAGAGAGCATCAACACTGCCTTGTACGGATTATCTCGTCTACTGAACTGTGGTGTTCTGCTCCATGGAGATGATCTGAAGAGCAGCTTCAGCAACAGACTACACCAACCTCGCTGTTCAAAAGAGTGGGACAAAAACTCTTTCCTGACAACTGCGGTTAAATTATTCAATTTATACGCCTCATGACAAGATCACAGTTGCTTACTTTTGCACCAATTTTACAGTGTGCACATCTGACAGCGTAATGTTCGTGCACTGTCATTATTTAGTGTTTATCATTTTTGCACCTGTTTCTGAACTGTAATGTCCTGCTCCATAAAGTTTAACACAATTCTTACTCTAAAGCCTAATTAAAATAATTATAATTGGGGCGGCTGTGGCTCAGTGGTTAGAGCAGTCGCCCTCCAATGCAAGAGTTGGGGGTTCGAATCCACCAGCAGTCACATGTCGAAGTGTCCCTGGGCAAGACACTGAACCCTTGATGCCTCTGATGTGTGTCCATCAGTGTCTGAATGTGATCTAAAGCTCTGATTAGTCTCTTTAGGATGATTTGTTCAGTTATCTTTGTAGAGATCTAGTATAGAGCTGTATGAATGGATACATGAGGCACAGATTGTTGTAAAGAGCTTTGAGTGTCTGGATAAGATAGAAAGGCGCCATACAAGTACAGTCCATTTACCATTATGCTACATTTGCCAAGTCCAGCTTTCATTAACATGTTTTAAAGTCTATCAGGATATTTTCAGAGTGCACACTGGACACACAAACCACACTAAGTTCAGGAGTTTGATCAGAACCACAACGGACAAGCTCAAAAAAGGGTGTGGTTCTAAAATTGGTAACAGTCTCTGAATGTAGATAGGCCACCACATTTTCCAGACATGTTGTGGTGCAGAAGCTGAGGGATGCAGGACTAGATGTTTGGATAGGATCACAAGTCTAGGTTTGATAGACAGACTATTACAAACTGTATTTCATCTTTTCAAATTGTGACCTGTCTGCCACAAGACCCCAATTAACATGTAAAGTGCAACATTTGCTCAAACTTTTCTTCAACACATTTGGCACTCTAAACAATCTCGGTGGATAAATATTTAGTGTACAATGATCCAGAATCTATGTTTGATCTGACAGTTCAAAAAGTCTAGGAAATGTTACTTTGCTCAAACTGCCTCACTCTGACCAAATCCCCCTAACAGCTTAGATTGTGTTTGGAAAAGGATGAAGTCTGTATGAGCATGTGTCCAACTGGTTTCTGTCATCTCTGTCATTCAGGTCTCTCTTATAAACGAGTCCCCGAGTCTCAGTGGGATTAACTTGTATAAATAAAGGTTGAATGAATCTCAAAGTGCACTCAGACTTTTCTCAAACCTTTTTTTTTCTCGCCCTGAGAGTTGTCTGTCGGCTGCTCTGACTTACAGAGGCTTTAGATGTTTGATAAAGCTGAAAATAATAAAAAATACAACTCTACATTTGGCTTAGTTTGTGTAAACCATTGCTCTAACCACACCCCACTACTAGGAATGCACCATGCAACTGGTTTGTGATGACACCAGCCTGTTTTCAGCTTGACCGGCCTCAATTGGAAATCCGCCATTCAAACATTCAAAAATCTATTTTTCCAATCAGTGAATGCACCATCACAAGTGTGGTGGGAACTTTTTTTTTTTTTAAACCAAACCATCAACATATATAATTAGAGAAGGGGAATGAAGGCTGAAGTTGAAGCTATATAGGCTGAGCGCCCCCTAATGGCTGACTACAGCACAGCCCCTCCACGTAGATGAGACATTTCCCTGACAAAAAATAAAATGACAAAATCTTTCCAGGTGTTGATTTATGTTGATTCACATAGTTCAGCACACACATCTTTATCCATCCAACTTTTTTACTCTGTTTTCCTTCCAGGTTGTGGAAAACTGGTGGCCAGCTCCAGCAGTCTGTGCAAAAGGCAGGGTACAACCCAGACAGGTCGCTAGCCCATCACAGAAAATGCCTTTAGTGTCAATGAAATTATTTTAGGGTTTGAAAAGTGAAGCATTGTGATTGTCAGTGCGATGATAGCCTGTTAGCTAGGGGGAGTGTGTAGGCAGGTTTGTATTGGTGGTCCAGCTCCACATACGTTCTGTATGCACTGTGCAGTCTCTGGCTTCAAACAATACCCGACTGCACACAACAATAAAATAAAATACTGTTGTTTTCAGTTTTAAACAGTGAAAGGTCATGGAGTTGCTTTGTCCATCTTTATTTATGTTGATGGGTTTTGCTAACTGTGCTAATGTTGCTAATAACTGCTAATTTAAAAAACAGTCAGCACAGTGATCAATTTGTTTTACTGAAACAGGGAAGTCATTTTTACCGTCTCATACACATTACTAATTTTAATATTTATTAAATTAAATCATTTGTTTACTTTATTTAAAACAGTTTGGTTTATTCCAAATATTAAGACAAAGCTGCAAATTATTTGGATAGATTTTAGGGAAACTACTGTGATTGTGGAACACGTCATTGTTTTGAGACGTGCATAAAATATTGAGCAACTCTTAACTTTAATGGCCATCACGTACTTTACATTTAAAAACCAAATTTGTTTTCACAGCCACCGATATTAATATTTTTAATAATATTATACAACGCTCTGTCAGTTTCAGCAGTTAAAGCTATATTTATTATTATAATCTTTCAACAAAAATAATTTTGTTACCTTTAGTTTTAGAGAAATTAGGACTGGCAGGTCAGAGCTGTACGAGAATAGAAAATCGGTATCGGCCCACAAATCCAGAATCAGTGCTTTTTTTATACCCCACCACACAAACATCACATGAAACACCTTTTTACCACATACGTCAGGAATGAAACCCAAAAACGAGTAATACAGTCTACTCTCTAACTTATTACATTTTCTAGTTTTGTTAACTATCATTATTAGAGAAACAAGTTTATTTATTACTACTAAACAGAAAGTTGGTTGGAACCATTCATGTGGAAACATCTTTTCACAGGTTTGCAAGACAAGTTTGAATTATGGGGGGAGACAAATCTCTTGTTGCAAAGTTAACCATTTTATATTTAATGTGGAAATAGACCTAATTCTAAGTGTACTTTATGAATGCAAATCAATGTAAATAAAAAAAAACATTTACTATTGATAATTTTAACTCTTTCAACACTGATCAAAATTTGTTTCCAGATGCACTGTTGCTTTAAAGCTACCTCTTTAAGAGTGCTTAATACCTACAGAAATATAGCTTCAATCTTAAAAATAAATATATGCATAAAAGTTTACTGCTACAACTTAGTCTCGCCTCATCACCGGTTTAAATAATAAACCCTGTACGGATATTTGTGCTGTTCTGCGGTGAAAGACTTTAGCTGTCAGGTGGAGCGACTTCTGGCAGCATTTTGAAAGTTATGCAAAAATGTTTGCGATGAAGTCACGGAATCGTTTGGCGTACTGCTCCGGATGAACGGTGGATATTTCAGCACCAGCCTGTAATAAAGACGAAAACAAAAGGGATTAGAAAATGTCATGATTGTTTCAATATCATGAAATGCTCAAACATCAAAACACTTGGAGCCAGTAATTTGTGCTACTCACCCCATGTTTGACTGTTTTTGCTGCGTGAGCGGCTTTCTTCTTGGTGTCGTACTGTGTCAGAACATCTATCAGACCCATGAAGTAAACCTCCCTCTGAGGGGCTCCTGAGATTAAGAGCAGAAACAAACTGCATTTAGTTGATTTTAATGAACTTGTACCAACAGTAGATGTTGGACCAAAGGTCAAACAGAAATTATTACTGGTATCTTTATTTCCCACATATGACGGTCCAAAGTGCACACAAGTATCCACCATATTAGAATAAGACCTGTAAAATGTAAAACAATGATTTATGTTGCCTTAAATAATTATTTTCCACACACTTTGCCCTTTTTATGTGTGTACTAAAGAAAAACTAGACAATTATTTTGTGTTTTTACTTCAGCTGGCACCGTGCCAATTGCTTCCTTAAAAATAATTTCAGTCTTGATTAGTCAGAAAGCTACTGAGCCCTGGAGGGGACATGGAGGGTTTTTTCTTTTGCGTTCTCTCGCAGTACTGTACAGTACAGTACTGTACTGTAGTGTAATGTACAGTACAGTACACTACAGTATAGTACTGTACTGTTGTGTACTGCAGTGTACTGTACTGTAGTGTACTGTAGTGTACTGTACTGTAGTGTACTGTACTGTAGTGTAATGTAGTGTACTGTACTGTAGTGTACTGTAGTGTAATGTAGTGTACTGTACTGTAGTGTAATGTAGTGTACTGTAGTGTACTGTAGTGTACTGTAGTGTACTGCAGTGTACTGTACTGTAGTGTACTGTACTGTAGTGTACTGTAGTGTAATGTAGTGTAGTGTACTGTAGTGTACTGTAGTGTACAGTACTGTACTGTACTGTAGTGTAATGTAGTGTAATGTAGTGTACTGTAGTGTACAGTACTGTAGTGTACTGTAGTGTAGTGTAATGTAGTGTACTGTAGTGTACTGTAGTGTAGTGTAATGTAGTGTACTGTAGTGTACTGTAGTGTAGTGTACTGTAGTGTACTGTAGTGTACTGTAGTGTAATGTAGTGTACTG